TCACGTGACACAAGAGGAGGGTCATAGGTCATCCATTATGTTTACCGAGACGACCTAATCAGGCGGTTACCAGTTATTCAGGCCCCTAAAACCAACCCCGTTTGATGAAGCCTGAGACACATAGTTAGCGTTATATGTGGAGCAATGACATCGGTCTATGTCGAGGATTGAATGTCCCCATTCACAGTGAATCTATACCAGAACTGTCAGGATCTTTAAAACATAATTCGTTGATGTAACTGACAAAAGGACATATTTATAGACACCCATAAATCTTACAGGAGTGTCCCTTCAGGGCTTTTCTAACATACATGCCAAATTTCGATATCCGAAAAACAAGCACATTGTATGCACGATTTGAGATCATTTATCAAAGGGATTTCAGATTGTCGACTATAAACGAAATTAAATGATTCTGTACGCCATTTCGGTGGAGTTAAATCTAATTTGAATTGTTTTCTTTTGCTAATAAAAATGTAATAATAACATGTGCTTTTACAATTAACAAACATTATTAAAACATTTGAGAAAACAGTATTTTTGTCTGATGATTTTTGGAATGTCTTGGAGGGAATCTTGGTCACTTCAGTAAAAAGACGATTCTGTTTCGAAAATCAAAACCAGTTCGTTATTGTGGCTGTGAAACATACGTATATGTGTTGTATATGAAATCCAATTCGTGTCAAATCGTCTCCTTGTACTTCAAACTGTTTTACTTGACGAATTTCTTGTCACAAACTATAACTCTTATTTATGCTGTAAGTGTGAATATTATACATTAATGTAACTTGTTTTCCTGATATCATTAATCACGCAAAAAAATCTTTTTATACGAAGAGATAAAGTAGAAACGTTTACGAACGGCACATAAGCAATAAAAGTCATGTGAGAGCATAGTGATTGGTTGGAAAGATGACCTCGTTACAGACCAAGACCTCCCATTGGCTAACCCTGGATTTTCAGGCTGACTGGCCCCTCCCATGTCCACACCGACACAGAAAAAATATGATGCTTCTATAAGACGAAATTTATCAATATATTGTTAACAAAATGAATATGCCCATTCAGATTCTTTTGTTGTCGTTTTTATTTATATAATGAAATACTCATCTCACGTATTGTATGAACGTTTGTATTTCGGCTTGTAGATGCCAAATTATATCTGTGAGGTTAGTTTAACCTTGATGTTATGAAATACCTTGAACGTGTGTGTAAACATTGTGAATTGTTTATAAAATCAAATATATTATTTAATCGATTTTATCATAAAGCCATACAGGTCTTACTTCATTGTAATATTCATTCAGAATACTTTCACAAATCAAACCGTCGATAATAATAACAGCAAATTTGCCCACTGGGGATGATTCATATGCCCTGTTCAGTTTATACCGCGAGACTGAGTATGAAAACACATACAACTGTACTCCACGCTCCAGAGTGACATAAACTTGTGATAAAATCTTTTCTGGCATTTGTAGGATAAATGGGTGTTTTTTTCGTCCTACCGGTTTCCACAGAAACATGACATTCAGTGTAATTGCTCTCTGTGGGTTTATGGGTCACAGTGGACTCCGATTGTTAAATACCGCCATTGACCCACATACAGGTAGTAATTATGTTTATGACGTGTGTTATGTGGGAATAGATGGAGGGAGACGACCGATATCGCTGTACCATAAGCTGATAATTCGGATATCTTAGTAAATTTGGTCCCTTTGGTCTACCATAGTTTTGTATCTCTCTCGATAAATGTTGACTGTTTTGTTGGGCTGATTGTTGATATGACTAGGTTTTAGTTTGTGGAGAGACATATTATTAAGACCTTTTACTATTTATTTAGTGTGAGGCCTTCCTGATATCAAGACTATTCTGACAGCTGCTTTTTGAGGTGGAAACCATACATTTTGTAATTTATTGATTCAATGGTTTATTGACGTTGTTAAACTGTTAAAATTAAATGTCATTTTTAAGGCAAGTTTGCACCTTTGGATTTCGATTTTTATTTGTTCTTAAGTTTGCCTTTAGTAAAATACATTCCATGTGTTTTCAAGTTTTGAATGAATTAACTATTGCTAATCTACAGAGAGATAACAAACGTAATGTGTTTGCTCTTTATAGGAATTCAGCCAGCTGGAAAGAGGAAAGGGTTAAATGGGTTTTTTTCTGCAAATTATTTCTATGTGTGTCACTCGTCCATAACGTACATATTTCGACCAGCTTTTCGGTAAATAAATGAAGTCTTGGTTACGAATTGTTGGCACTTGGTCCACAAAGTAATTCCACACACAGTTCTAGAAAGGTCTGTCACAGGTTGGACTTATTCAAAAATGTTAGCACATAGTTTCAAACTGCTCTAATGTAACCAGCTTCTGCTGGGATTTGCATCAATTAATGCCGTGAATACTGAATTGAAAATGAACTGTCATTTCGAAACTGTGTTAGTACAATTAAAAAAATGTAAAATTGTACTTATACCTAACATACCTATACATACAAAACAAATGTACATATACCTCCAATATATTCTCGTGTAAGGTAACTGGGCCTGGGACTGGGATGTATATATCAAAGTGCAACATTTATAGAAAATATTTCATAATGTCAAAATTTCGATAATTTGATAAAATCGTGATCTCAGCACAACGAATTGTCTAGAATTCATTACAATGTGGCCCTGGTGCTCCTCCATACGTTAAAGTCGTTGAGAATATCTGTGTATGGTAGTCAGTGGGTGAGAGGGTCTGGATTTGTTTACTTTGAAATTCACCCCTTTAGCTGGACAAAAACCCGTTACATTAGCTGTATTTTAGTGCCTAGGTCCACAAACACGATCATGACTGTCTACAACTATCTCCAATGAGTGTTTGTTTAGCGGACTGCTGATATAGGCTATTATATATTCCTTACGAAAGACTGTTATGATGAAGAGTATTATCATAGTAATCTTAAGAGGCATCACCTGTCATTTATTTCACTTACTGAGAACATTTTATATACCTTCAGAACTTATACCGATGTGAATGTTCGGTGATTTCCGGATAAATGAATGAAACCTATTTGCTCTGTAGCTGATTTTTGAGTTTTTATGACAATAGTAACACTTAGTTTCTAGTGGTTGAGCCTCTTTACGCGATTGGAAATATAACTGCCTACTTAAGTGCAACGTTGATCGATATTCTAATAAGAAAGTGTAGCAAAGTAGTAATGTAGTAAAGTTGCCACTTGTGATAAAACTGTATTAAATTACAATACTTTTTGTAATATTAATCAATTATGTGGATGCGTCCTACTGGTAGGCAGGACACGCTTACACTTTTGGAGAACACCCGGTGTCGTCACTGATTTTCAGGTGTCCATTTTCACAATATCCGCAGGCTTTAGCCCTATATGACAAATGGAATCTGTTTTGGTTGATAACCTAGATTGGATTCTCTCTTGTATTGACCGTTTATATTTTCTAGCTAGGTTTCGTTAAATTTAGAAATGAATTACAATAATTCACAGCTGTATCAAATGAACTCGCGTGCTCTCTACATTTTGTGAGATAATACCTGTTATCTCCTCGCGATTTCAAAACAATCCTGCTCAAATTAATTCTTATATGTTTTCGACCTTTGACGTGCGATCATTGCCTCGGGCCTTCAGGTCACCGGGCTTATTGCAATCAGGACGTCTACTAGCCACGTTCACCTTGTGCATATCACTTCCTAGGGGTATTCGGATAGGTAGGGTTGTCTTGCGTCGATTTGCCCCTAGCTGCTGCCCGGGGGCACCCCATTGTAGGGGTAGCAACTTCGATATAGCCTAGCCTATTGTCCACGACGGAACACGACATGTTAATTGCAATTGGGGTGACGCGCCTTGCCCGCGATGTGAGATCGACATCCCAAAACGCAATTACTTCGTCGCGCTGATCCGGTGATGAAATGTACATCGAGTTGATGTAGCTGTGTTTGAGACGGATGAAGAAGCTGAAACTTTCAGTGCTTTTTCAGATGATGTTTCATCACCTTGCTTTTTGAAGACAAAATCGTTTGTTAAAATATTAAAGATATTTTCGTTTGACTCGCTGCGCAAGTTGATTTGATTATCGGTTTTTGTGGATTTATGCATTATTATAACATCATGAACAAATTAATATAGTGCAGATAAAAGCTTTTACAGGTGTGGTGAGTCAAAGGTGCAAATTTTCAAACCTTATCCTCAATTTGGAGGCCCTGGCTGCTCCAAAATGGCGCCTAGGATCTTCCTTTGAGTGTTGACGACAAACAACTGTTTGTTAGTTACACTGCAGGAATCGGGCCTGTATTTACACATTATCCACAATCAGCGTAGTCAAACTTGACTGTTGTTTCAAATTTGTGCAATAAGTGTGAGTTGGGTCCTAATCCTTCGGGAATTTCGTTCGTCGCATTAGGCCAAGCATATTCACTTTGAATAGAAAATGGCGGATATCGCCGGTGGTTGCCCTAGTGTGTTGGATGAGTCAATCCATGGTGGAGTTCAGAGCTAGTTTATGTTAATAAACATTATTGCAACATAGAATTATACCTTGAAACTTATAAGTAACTTTTCACCTGAGGTATATTTGATATTTCGTTGTAATAATTGCTATCACCTACAATCTTTCGATAACGTTATCATGGCATGCTATGGATAAATTATGTATCGGACGTCGTGTGTACCCACACTGAAGTCATAATGATAATAAACATATCGACATATTTACAGATGTGTTTCTCACAGGAAATAACAATGCAAAGATAAGATTAAAAACAATCGATAGCGCACCCTATCGACAACATTCGCTTAAATCTGTTTCACGGGAACAAAGGAATCGAATGCAAACGAAATAAACAAAACTAAACACTATATAGCTGCAAATGATATTTAGAATGAAACTTAAGAACACAACAAAACAACTTTAAGTTATAATTTCATCAATCTGCGGAGATAAACATTATGCGCATATGTAAAAACATTGTGTGTTTACTCACTGGGAACTCCCGTCGCCGGCCTGTCGTCTCAGTACATGATCAGGGGTCTGCTACGATCGACTTTGGGTATTATTCGATCTTCATCTTCACATTCCGACCCCCTCACGTCCTGACCCCTCTCCCTGCCCCTCCCTAGCGTCCCACCAGCCCGGGGTATGGTCGCTTCCCTCGCCCAGACCAGCCAGCTATCTCCCCGCCGCTTCGCTTCTCAAACATGGCCGCCGCTGAGGGATTAGCGAGACTCAGGATTTACGTTCCCTCGCTCTGATCTCAACGAATTTTTGCACGTCGGGTAGAAAACGTACACTTATTAGCTTTATTTCGATTGCCCTTGCTAAAAACAACGCCGTGCAATGATCACGGGGGGTAGATTGAAATTTCTAGCAGTCATAATTAACATCTTTCTCTATCATTGGACAGTCTTAAGCCGGGGTAAGATTTTGCACGCCAGAAGGAAATAACGAATAAACTATAGCATTGGGGACACTGTAAGAGATGTTGCCGCATTGTTGTAAATAGAAAATACCTAGCAGGTTTCTCCAGCTATCGCTTCGAGGCAAACTTTTTTTCTTCACGCAAAGGCCTGAGCAGACAGGTTGATTGCAATTAGATCGTCGCGAGTTGGTGATCATTGAAGGCACCGCAAAAGCTACGGGGGGTGAACTGGATAAGTGTATATATATGGAAACGTTCAAAAATCTTTTCGGTTCGACTTTAAAATCGAAATTGAGCAAATTCATTAAAGGAATTGGAAGATTTCGTTTCTGTTACAATTTCCTTTTTTCTACACCGTTCATGGGGTGACGACATATTTGTCAGTTGGGTGAGATTTTACCTGTATGCAGAGGGCTCGTGGTTTGTTAATGGGACAAACATGGCGGCCGTGAGTGGGGAGGGGCGGGAGGGAGGAGAGAGCGTCTGAGAGTTGATCTAGGCGAGAAGTGATCAGTGACTGAGGAGTATTCTCGATCCAGGGTAGCGGTGTTGAGCCATCTCTCACCTTACCCGTCGGGACGGAGTCGAGCGCCAGAGATATACCCACAACATCGCAATCTCTATCACATAAACTGGCGACAAGTATTCAGATTGCTGTCTTGTTCAATGTAACGTTCCTCACTAGCTTCAGGAAAGTTATACACGTGACCTTTTAACGTCAATGTTGATGAATATGCCTACACGTATATCCTTCGATACATTCATTGGATATTTCACATTATTTCATTAAATATTAGTAGATAATTGTGTACAGTAATATGTATATTCACATTCGCTATTGACATGAATTAGACATTTTTGTAATATGCGAGTAACAGACGCTGTATCATAAGTAATAATTCTGAAATATAATTTTCATGAATGGTTAATAAACACAAACCATGCTTACTGGCTTTGTTCACATTACTTGAACTAAAGCTATTTAACCTAAAAGCTTAATGATAAAAGTTTCTAATGATTTTCTAAATTGAAAATGAATGATTTGAATTAAATCAGATCTGAATTATCAATAAAAAGATATAAAAAAAAGCAATAGTAAAAACATCCACATTAAACAGATTTCACGGACAACAGAATACATACACAAAAATCATAAATTACAGAAGGGAAGGGCTGGTGAAATGTATCACATAGGAGAAAATAAATTTACATCTGACGTACATAAAAAAATGAGCAGTATTTATGTGAAAAGTTTGTAATCCGGACTTTCACCTGTTGCGGGCAGGTATATCCATTTGTCGTAATATCTTTCTCTCAGAATAAATGTATATTATGTGAAGACGGACGTCTGGCGGGCGGTTAAATTAAGTACAAGCTTATGAAGAAAAATATCAACTCCTAACATTACCTTAAGTTTCTTCCATTGTTTTTCATTTTCTTTTTGAGGTTACTTGTTAAATTATTACATAAAAATAGCAAAACAAAAATATTAATATGTTCAAATTGCCAAAACACATACTTTTCTAATAATATGTTTAAGTTATGCCATTGGGTTTGTCATTTACGAAGTGAAGTTGTTTTTTATATATAGTGTAAATTGTTTAAAAAGAAATATTTTCAGTTGAAATCTGGGGCAAGTAAAACATTCAACTAAAATACCATCTGGTCTTGATGATGTTGATGTTAGCTGACAACAGACACATAATTGAATTCATGTCTGAATGAAAATAATGTGCTATGTGGTTAATTCAATTTCCGAATGCATCAGTCTTGAGCCGGGATAACCCCACTGATGCCCTTCATCCACAGATAGAGGGGGCCGTAAGTGACTGTAAGATGCCTAGAGCCTTCATACAGACCTTGAGGTAATTGCATTACTTACCCCACCCGTACCTCTTCCTCCAGTCAGCTCACCCTCCCCCTTACATGAAAATGTGAAAATGGCCTCAATGTTTTGGTCTCTTTACATACTATCCATCCATTCCTTTCAGGAAAGGTAGAGTAATTAAAAGATGTGTAGGCTGATATTTATGGACATGGTAGAAGGAAGGGTAGAAGCAAACGTAGGGATAGGGACATAGGTTGATGTTTGTGATAGAGAAAGGGGTATGGTAGGGTTAAACTTGAGGCAGAACATAGGTAGGATAATTGTAAGATAGAGGTAGGGATGTAAGTATATGTTGGGACAGGGATATGGGTAGAAGAAGGGATAGAGGAAGGGGTAGAGTGGTGTTAAATTTGAGGTAGAAAAGCGATAGGGGTAGTGGTAAGGGTGGAGTTGGGATGTAAGTATATGTTGGGACAGGGATATGGGTAGAAGAAGGGATAGAGAAAGGGGTAGAGTGGTGTTAAATTTGAGGTAGAAAAGCGATAGGGGTAGTGGTAAGGGTGGAGTTGGGATGTAAGTAAACGTGGAGACAGGGATATGGGTAGAAGAAGGGATAGAGAAATGGGTAGAGTTGAGTTAAATTTGAGGTAGAAAAGCGATAAGGGATGTTGTAAGGGTGGATTTGGGATGTAAGTATATGCTGGGACAGGGATATGGGTAGAAGAAGGGATAGAGAAATGGGTAGAGTGGTGTTAAATTTGATGTAGAAAAGCGATAGGGGAAGTGGTAAGGGTGGAGTAGGGATGTAAGTAAATGTGGAGACAGGGATATGGGTAGAAGAAGGGATAGAGAAATGGGTAGAGTGGTGTTAAATTTGAGGTAGAAAAGCGATAGGGGTAGTGGTAAGGGTGGAGTTGGGATGTAAGTATATGTTGGGACAGGGTTATAGGTAGATGCACAGGTAGGGAAAGGGGTAGAGTAGGGGTAACGTTTTAGGTAGAATAGGGGTAGTGGCAAGAGTAGATTAGAAGTAAAGGTAGGGATAGAGGTAGAGACAGGGATAGAGAACGGGTTAGAGTAGGGGTAATCATGAGATAGAAAAGCGATAGGGGTAGAGTAGAAACAGAAAATAGGGTGGAATAAATGTGAAGGTAGCTACACAATAAGACGAAGAGTCTAGCGGTAGGAATAGGGTAGAGGCAGAGGTAGAATTAATTAGAGGACTAGAGAAGGAGTAAGAGTAGGGTAACGAGAGACGTATTGGCAGAAGTGAAGATACAGCAGAAGTAGGGTAGACAGAAGGGTAGACGAAGAGTAGAATTAGAGGTAGGGGATTGTAAGGAGTGGAGATGAGGTAGAAGGAGAGTAGGGATAAGGAATAGTGTTTGGCCGGGGTAGAAAGAGAAACATGTTGGGTGACACAGGTCGGAGTAGAGGTAAGGATGGGGTAGTGTGTGGTTGGGTTTGGTAGAGGGACAGTAGGAGTAGGGTTAGTCGCAGGGGTAGTTTAGTGGCACAGGTAGGGGTAGTATAGAGGCACATGTAGGGGTAGTATAGAGGCACAGGTAGGGGTAGTATAGAGGCACAGGTAGGGGTAGTATAGAGGCACAGGTAGGGGTAGTATAGAGGCACAGGTAGGGGTAGTATAGAGGCACAGGTAGGGGTAGAGGTAAGGATAGGGGTAGTGTGTGGTTGGGTTTGGTAGATGGGACAGCAGGAGTAGGGTTAGTCTTCGGGGTAGTATAGAGGCACAGGTAGGAGTAGGGAAGTGATACGGTAGAAATGTGTTGGCAATAAGTAGGGGTGGGGTTAGGATAGACTGCACATGTCTATGCACAAGTCCCTAAGGTACAAATTAACAGTTTAAATGATAATTTCTAAAACAATAATAAATAACAATCTGGGTTCCTTGTACTGTCAACTTACCTAGACTTGCCTCTTCGTGGGATAGAATTACTATACATCCATGGGCTCAGCATTCAGAACAGCATTGGAGCAAGGCTAGGGTGGGAAGTAGGAAGGGACTGGGTTTGGCAGATATGGGGCACAGGAAACGGTACATGTGGGGGATGGCCCTTTGGTAGGGGTAGGCATAATGGCAGTGATTGGGGTAGTGAATAGGTAAGAATAGATGTAAGTGTAGAGGTAGATATGACAAAGGATTAGGGGTAGAGGCTGTGCTTGAGAAAACTTAGTGTCAGGGAGGCAAGAGTGGAAGTAAGGCTAGGACTTGATTCCAAACTTCCCCATATATATGACAATATTTCACACAGAACAAGCGAAATGATAAAGGTATTATTTAATAAAGTACAAGGTACGAACAATGTATGGTAGGGATAGTGAAGGACAGGGTAAGGGTTAGAGTAGGATGAGATGTAGGGGTAGTGGAAGGACAGAGGGAGGAGAAGGGTATAAAACAGGTAGAAATATGGTAGGAATGGTGTTAGGGTAGGATGAGATGTAGGGTAGTGGAAGGACAGAGGGAGGAGAAGGGTACAATAACAGGTAGAAATATGGTAGGAATGGTGTTAGGGTAGGATGAGATGTAGGGGTAGTGGAAGGACAGAGGGAGGAGAAGGGTATAAAACAGGTAGAAATATGGTAGGAATGGTGTTACGGTAGGGTGAGATGTAGGGGTAGTGGAAGGACAGAGGGAGGAGAAGGGTAAAATAACAGGTAGAAATATGGTAGGAATGGTGTTAGGGTAGGATGAGATGAAGGGTAGTGGAAGGACAGAGGGAGGAGAAAGGTACAATAACAGGTAGAAATATGGTAGGAATGGTGTTAGGGTAGAGGGTAGGGTGGAAATAGGGCAGGACAAGAGGAGGATTCTGCCGGATAACTTAATAATTGGGAGAAGGGTAAGAGGAGAGAGACAGGTGGAGGGAGTGGAAGCTGAAGGTATGTGCACAGTTTATGTGAATTGTACTAAGTAGACAAGGCAGCGGAAACTGCTACGGGAAGAATAAAATTTTTGCTTGACTTATAATTTATTCAATCAATGTTTACATTAAGCTTGGACATTC